AGATATAAGAAATGGAAAATTAAACTTGTTGCCATCCTAGCTAAGCTAGAAGTGCCCACATCACTAACATTATGAGAAGTCTCACTTAGTGGTCATAATAACATATCACTGAGTCATAAATCACATTAAGAATGTGATCTCCAAAAAGTATTTACTTAAAATACCAGGTACATGTCCCAAACATACAAAAATCTTCTGTTATCATTGAACAGTTCAAACATAAGAATGTGATCTCCAAAAAGTATTCACTTAAAATACCAGGTACTTGTCCCATACATACAAAAATCTTCTTTTATCATTGACCAGTTCAAACATAAGAATGTGATCTCCAAAAAGTATTCACCTAAAATACCAGGTACATGTTCCATACCTACTCTTCCAAACATCTTCTATTATTATTGGTCAGTTCAAACATTAAGAATGTGATCTCCAGAAAGTATTCACTTAAAATACCAGGTACATGTCCCATTCTATTATCATTGACCAGTTCAAACATTTGGAGATAGTGTCCAAATGTCAACAATCATGGATAAATTTAAACTTGGTTTATTAGGAGGAGGGGATAAACGATGATTCCATTAAAGAAGAATATTTGAAAAAAAACATTTTCAAATTTTTCTATCTGCTTTATTTCAGTTTAACTATAATGAAAAAATGATTAAATGAACTTCATTTTTGCACAACTGTGAACATTTATAAACCATTCTTTAATGCATGTTTTCATGCATCCTCCATATTTCCCTGTTGACTCAGTCTCTTTAGGCTTTTACAATATGATTAGATGTGTCTTGTGATTTGTGTATGTATGTGATTTCTTACAATGTATCCATGTGAATACTGTGAATGGTTATGAGAAGTGTTCTACATGATTTCAGACATTTTATTGAATGATTTAAACATTTTGAATGCATGGTTTTTTAATATATTCAAAAACATTTAACAGAATTATTTTGCATGAGTTATATGTGTTTACTGTTTTGTTAAAGTCTTAGATTATGCTATCATTTGTTGCCATCATCAAATGCTTTCATTTAAGTCTATTAAACAGCCTTGTGAATTGTATTTTAAACCATTACTGGGGGTAGATGTGGCTGTCCCAACTCTGATAAGTTGGATTCCCAGAGTTTTGATTCACATCAGAGCTTGAAAGACCCCAAACATCTCAGATATATAAATGAAGGCCTTCAGTCAGGATTGGTCATCCTATTCTAAAAGCTGCATGCTAAATATATAAGCATGGTTTCAGTTCCTGGCATGTATATACTATTGTAACACCATGTATTATTCTGATCCACTTTATGCAGTGTTAAATCCACTGTGGATCTCAGACAATACTAAATGTATTAATCTTATACTAGAAAAACTTAAATAAAATATGTAAATGAGACTTCACAATATAGTAGAACTAGTTCATGTAAAGTTATGTATCATCAAAAACACTAATGTATTCATTGTTTTTAACACTAACATCCTATGCACTTAACCCCATTGTTGTACTGTGAACATCTAACAATAACAATTAACAACGCAGCTTATTTTTTGTTAACGCTTTTGCAACCTTAAATTATAACATTACCTTTTTATTGATATCTTATGCCATCAAGCTGATGGTAGGCATGTGTTTTTGGTCAGATTTTAAGAATTTGCAGATTTTGCTGGTACCTTATATATCCTATGTTGAGTTTGATTCTACTAGGGAAATAATTATGTGTTTTGTTTTTTGAATGTTCAGTGATTAAGACTCTCAATTTTCATGATTTTGTTATGTTACCTTTTGATAATTGGGTTAGTTTTCAAGGATCTTTTTGGGATATGAGGTTGTTCACAGTAGAATTATGGGTAGGTCTTATCTTGTTCTATTTCTGCCAGACCTGTCCCATATCCAGTCACCAGTCTGGAAACCAATGGTGCCACCTATATCACAGCTGGAGCCATCTAGTGAGAACATTACTACACAGACAGAGACATCTTTTGAGGAATTTTCAAGTTTGCCATTTGGGAGTCCTCTGTGTTCATCCACCCCTGACCCCATAGGGATGTATTCCACACCACCTGCTTCTCCCCCACCTAACAAACAGATCTTACCGAGGGCAGGATCTGCTGAGAATATTCTAGAACAGGTCAAGAGATCAGACCTCCGGGGGGCAAATTCGGCATCCAATATCTCCGAGACAGAACCAGTAAAGAAACAAACTAAAGCAGCAAAACCAAAACCAAAATTACGACTGCGAATTTTAAGTGGTGGTAAATCTGATGGAAACCAAACAAAAACTGCTCCCATACACATGGACGCAGAATTAATGAGAAATCCATATTTGGACACATTGGCTCCAATGAGGGAAGAACAGCATGTTGGTGTCTCACACACACATGTTGGTGTCTCACACACACATGTAGAGGATCCTGGTCTTGAGTCGAAAGGGACTTTAAATACAACACCATTGACTGCCCCTATTCACCATGAATCCAACAAATTTATGAAAAATCGTAAAAACAGTCGGCCATTTATGTCACGCCCATCTCCACCATCAACTCCAAGTTCTCCTGGATATCAGTCAAAATCTGGTTCTGAGTCGGAATCGCCAAGAAAGATGGCGCCTGAAAAGCGGAGGAAATCGTGGTTAAGTAAGGGACGCACGTTCAGTTTACCTGTTATGAACCCTCCCAGTATTGTAGAGCCTCCGCGTGTGAACAGTCCTCTCTCCATGCATGGCAGTGGTGTGGGAGTAAGGCATGATGGTTCGTATGATGGTTCATAGATCTTTCCTACCTTTAAGATCATTCTTTAAGATATTGTACTTATACATTTTGCAATCTATAATCTGGTGTGGTGAGATGTAGGGATCGTTCTACCTTAGTGATAACATACAATGCATCTTTACCTTAGTTCAGAACATACATGTGTATCGATAATCATCCATCACAACTCTGCTTACGGTTAATGGTTTGATTTTTGAGAGCTGTTATATGTAAATTATGGTCTTTTTACCAGTGGCATTTACTTTCAAGGTTTTGAAAGAAAGATACACTAAAGCTAGACAAAAAAATAAATATGAAATATTTATATGATATGTTCTAATCAAAACATGGTGAAATTGAAACAAAATAGTTTTGTTTAAAAGAATGTCTCTGGATAAAATATGACTGATTGAAGTTTGTAAGGTTAGCCCCTCATCCGACCCCTCACCCCCTCATGATGTAATGATATATCCTCAAGTCATACAGTATATAGAAATGATCTAATTTGTTTTGAACAATCTTAAGTCCAGGTGCATTGTCGTTTGATGTAAACAATATTAGTGAAATATATGTTATGTGGTATATAATACAGGTTTTTAAAGCTGTTCTGTCAGTCTCTTAAAAACAGAGGTGATTGTTTTCCAAATTAATTCTCAAAACATCTCCCATCATCGTTTAAGCTTTCATATACTGAGGCAGTTTTAAGGTTGGTCTTGTACAACAAATTTTGAACCTGTCTGTGCGTGTTCTACTTTTAATGATCCGAGACCTACCTGATATGATCCAGACTAGACAAATGTTTGATCCTAGACTTACCATAAATTATCCTAGACTTACCATAAATGACCCTAGACCTACCTTTAGTGATCTTAGACCTACCTTAATGATCCTAGGCTAACCTTAAATGATCATAGACTTACCATAATGATCCAAGATTTATCTTAAATGATCCTAGACCTACCTTTGATAATTTTAGACCAATATTAAATTATCCTGGTCCTAACGTTAATGATCCTAGACCTACTTTAGATAATTATGGGCCAACCTTAAATGATCTTAGACTCACCTTAAATGATAGTAGACCTACCATAAATGATCCTAGACCTACATTTTATGATCTCAAACCTATATTAAATTATCCTGGTCCTAACTTTAATGATCCTAGACCTACTTTAGATAATGATGGGCCAACCTTAATATCTTAGACTCACCTTAAATGATAGTAGACCTACCATAAATGATCCTAGACCTACATTTTATGATCTCAAACCTATATTAAATTATCCTGGTCCTAACTTTAATGATCCTAGACCTACTTTAGATAATGATGGGCCAACCTTAATATCTTAGACTCACCTTAAATGATACTAGACCTACCATAAATGATCCTAGACCTACATTTTATGATCTCAAACCTATATTAAATTATCCTGGTCCTAACTTTAATGATCCTAGACCTACTTTAGATAATGATGGGCCAACCTTAATGATCTTAGACTCACCTTAAATGATACTAGACCTACCATAAATGATCCTAGACCTACCATAAATGATCTCAAACCTATATTAAATTATCCTGGTCCTAACTTTAATGATCCTAGACCTACTTTAGATAATGATGGGCCAACCTTAATGATCTTAGACTTACCTTAAATGATCCTAGTCCAAGACCTGCTTTAAATGATCCTAGAACTATCTTAAGTGATGAACAGGTCTCTTAGTGGGGAATATGGAGAAGAAACCAGGTATATGGAGAGGAAAATGTATTTCAAGCTTCTTCGCTCTTATTCTTCATAAGGATGCTTGTTGGAAGGTGGGAGATCATTTTGAGAATTGTCAATTTTAAGACTTGTCACTTCTTTGACTTCTTTAATTGTTTCTTTCGTGTAACTTGAATCACTTGTTCTTGTTCATAGTTTGGTTTAGGGAATTATGTATGTATATGTTAATTAAATATTTTCATCACATAAGATCTTTATTGTAGATAGTAGCCTGGCCAGAACAAGTCATGCCTCTCTATTTCCTCAATAACTTTCTCAATTTTGAATATTTTTTCATATAATTTTCACAGTATAAACTTTAAAGAATTCCTAACATATATATTTTTTATATGGTAAATGCCTCATTAATTTCATTGTTACAACCTTTTAAAAAATAATGTCATATTCTGTTGATGGGTCATTTTTGTCGCCATTTTTTCTAAAAAGATACGAAAAATCTAAATTACATTTTGTCCTAATATACAGATTGTCTTGTTCTTGGTGTGAAATACTGTCTGCTGTCTTCTCTAAGGTATGCATAAGTATTTTGTGATGTTTGCTTGGTATTATAATACTGTTTTGATGGATTGTTCTTTGAATTTTTTGTAAAAACCATCTCTGTGAATTTTCAAAATTTAGCAGATGACTTTTGTGATTTTTGAACCTCAGAGTTTGAGGAGCTCCTATTTTGAGGAGCATATTGTAATTCATTTTGAAGGCTAAAATTTTATCTAAAAAATTTGTATGTTAGGAATTCTTTAAAGTTTATTCTGTGAAAATTTCATGAAAAAATATTCAAAATTGAGAAAGTTATTGAGAAAATAGAGAGGCATGACTTGTTCTGGCCAGGCTACTAGTTATTTCACCTTTTCTGTTTTCCATGGCTGGAAAGGTCAGGTGAAAGGGTTTATACAACTTCTTTAATTTGTTTTATTTTTAAATCAGTTATTGATCACTTATTGAGTAACAGACTGATTTTCCTTTGTTTGCTGATATTGTTTTACTGTTGAGTTGTTAACTGCTCGTATGCTATTCTGTAACCTGTAAGTCATTTATGTGCTGTATGTCACCATTTCTTGATGGTGAGATATTGTTAAAGTCATTATTTTTGTAACTGGAGTATGGCATCAGTGGTTGGGAATTACACATTTGTAATTATTATTACTTACAGGCATTGTCATTTTGAAGTTTAAATATTGCATTTACCGGGCATTAAAACATGCAGTGTATATTTACATGTATATAAGCTGGGATCATGCTAAATATCAGTACATGGTCTTCAGAAGCATACTGATAATTGTGCCATGAATAGTAACATAGAGGAATTATTGACATATAAATATAATGTATGTTATTTTGTTGACACTGTGTTGATGCCGGTGACCTCTAGTGTCAGAGACCAACATCTATGCATCTAGATTCTAGAACTTGATTCTTGATTCTTGCTTTGACATTTTGCTTTTGTTATATTCACGAGGCAAGTTTTACTTTTAATTTTTTTGTCAGCAAAAATTGACTTTTTCCATGGTATTCCTGACACCTTCGTTATCATTAACCTTACATCCTCCGATCACAGGGCTTCAAAATCCAGAATATCTTCTTTCTTTTTACCCACTGCTATATGCAGTTAGCATTTCCCCATTTAAGAACAAGCAATTTGATTCACTGTCGCAACACTGCGACAGCAATCATGTATACGTCATAAATAGATCACATGATTCAGTTTAATCAGGCGCTTCCAAATTGGTTATAGCAGGGGGAAGAAAGAGGTACAGATTCTGGACACCTGCTTAGGAGGATGGATTTCCTTATGATTCAACAGATTAGTTAAGAGTTTTATTTCCCTTTTTTGTTCAATTATTTAACATATTTTAACATTATGTTTAAATCAGTGATGATATTGTCTTTTACAGTGTTGTTAACAATATCCTAAAGGCGATTTCCTTTGCTTACAACATTAGTTTTAGTTTCCCAAATTTGTTCTGCTTTTGCTTCTTTCCTTTGCTTTGTTTGTGCATTATCTTTGGCAAAACCACAGATACCTGTCGGATCCCTCATGTTGGTCTCAAGGCTCAATAGATTTGCTTATTGATCCTACTACCAATGGGGATAGAATCTGGCACGGGATCTTTGGGCAAAACTACCACCCCAGGGCCAGGCCCTAACCATTGAATAGAAGTGTTTGTTACTTGACTCACAACACTTTAACAAGTAATACAGTATAAAAGCAGCTGCATTAATGCCGTGTATAAATTTAGGAATACCAGTAAAAGGAAAAATTCACTTGAAAATTTTATCTTGATAATACCAGAGGAAACATTTAGTCTCCAAAGAAATAACTTCCCTTCCACCCCTTTTTAAGAAAAACGTTCAGTTTGGGCTGAAATGATTTTGAACCAAATTTTAAGTTGAGACACCCGGTGTAAGCTTCATTAAAGTTGCCATTTTTTCATAAATAAGGTAAATTGAACTCTAATAAATTATTTTTAACCAAATTCAAAAAGGAGACATTATTATTATATAAAGAGGATGAAAAGGAATCCCATGCCCATCTAGAAATCTATATTTAAGATCTATTTGTAGAGAAAACACCAGCTCATAGTGACCCTAGCCTTGAATCAACAAGTGCAAAGCACATGACAAATGCACAGAAGCCCAAGTCTCTCGATCTAGAGTCTTCTGACAATCTACCCAAACGCAAAAAGATGAATCGTCAGCAAAGTGCTGCTCTGGGTCCTGATACAAAGATATATGTCGTTTGGTTGGAGAGCTTTGAAGATTATGAGAATTTCCCAATAGGTGAAGTATATTGTTGTATATATTAATGTATATTTCCCCTACTCAAGGTTATTTAGAAGAGGGAGACCTCACCCTCCCCAGTCATTAATGCCTGAATGTCGATATGACTGTGTGGCATGATCTTCCATTTAAATTTCAATGCAAGATTCTAGACAGGTGACCAAGATCACTTATAGTTTCTGATGAGAAGGTGACCTCGACATTGATTACAATAAGTTTTTACTGTTTATTTAAATGATGGCAGCACACGACAGAACTATATTATTTTATATTCAAAGCATACATGATTTTTTCATATAACTAAAAATGATGGCATATTTTAGGTGGTATTTTGGGAAACAAAACAATATCTATTGCATATTTATATTGTCAATGTGCCCCAAACTGTACCAGTATACTGTCAGTTCAGCCTAAAATGTCTCATTATACTTTTAGTTCAGCCTAAAGTGTATATTGCTAGTGCATTCTGTCCCTGTATCATTTATGTGACCTTTATTGTAGGTGATCTTGTTGGTGTGACTGTCCCTGTATCATTTATGTGACCTATATTGTAGGTGATCTTGTTGGTGTGACTGTCCCTGTATCATTTATGTGACCTATATTGTAGGTGATCTTGTTGGTGTGACTGTCCCTGTATCATTTATGTGACCTCTATTCTAGGTGATCTTGTTGGTGTGACTGTCCCTGTATCATTTATGTGACCTTTATTGTAGGTGATCTTGTTGGTGTGACTGTCCCTGTATCATTGATGTGACCTATATTGTAGGTGATCTTGTTGGTGTGACTGTCCCTGTATCATTTATGTGACCTTTATTGTAGGTGATCTTGTTGGTGTGACTGTCCCTGTATCATTTATGTGACCTGTATTGTAGGTGATCTTGTGGATGTGACTGTCCCTGTATCATTTATGTGACCTTTATTGTAGGTGATCTTGTTGGTGTAACTATCCCTGTATCATTTATGTGACCTATATTGTAGGTGATCTTGTTGGTGTGACTGTCCCTGTATCATTTATGTGACCTATATTGTAGGTGATCTTGTTGGTGTGACTGTCCCTGTATCATTTATGTGACCTATATTGTAGGTGATTTTGTTGGTGTGACTGTCCCTGTATCATTTATGTGACCTATATTGTAGGTGATCTTGTTGGTGTGACTGTCCCTGTATTATTTATGTGACCTTTATTGTAGGTGATCTTGTTGGTGTGACTGTCCCTGTATCATTTATGTGACCTATATTGTAGGTGATCTTGTTGATGTGACTGTCCCTGTATCATTTATGTGACATTTATTGTAGGTGATCTTGTTGGTGTGACTGTCCCTGTATCATTTATGTGACCTTTATTGTAGGTGATCTTGTTGGTGTTACCCAGACTGGACTAGAGACACTAGGGATGACTGCATCAGCTAAAAATGCTTATATGGCCAGTGAGAAAGATGTCACTGTCATCTTCATACATGCCCTCCAGAGTGGGCTCTTCAGAATACACATTCAGGGCCAGCCTAGCAGGTAAATATATTATGGTAAACAGCTCATTCGCATTTTATCAGAACTTAGATGTAGGTCAGAAATAAAAAAAATGAAGTTGAATAATAGGCAGAATTCAGAGGTTAGTCTACTCCAAAAAAACATAATATTTTTGAACTGTATTATATTGTATTTTATCATGTCTACATTTACATATTTAGTATTTGTATGTGAGTATTTATTAGTATTTAGTATTTGCATGTTATGTGTTTATGTAGAATCAGCCTGGCTATCCCCCTGGTGAGTGGAATGGTGGTCAGTAGACGCACTCTGGGTACCCTAGTCAGACAGACTGCAATCAATATTGGACGTAGAAGGAGACTCGATAGTGAGGCGTGAGTATCCATCAAACTACAAATATGACCCAGCTTGCTTTGCTTCATCTGTTATTTCAGTTACTTCTCAAAAGAATACTCTAATTGAAAGTTTGACTCCATTTTGATAACTGATCTATTGAGTATTGTGTTGTTTGAATCATATGTTCATTTGGCAGTGAAATAAATGTACAGTTGATTTTTAATATGAATAAGAGTTAAAAGCATCCAAAATAACCCAGAGCCTTATTCTTGCTCAAGGAAAGGTAGTGGGAAAACTATTTTGCACAAAATGTCAAGTTAAATGATTATTCAGCTCAGTTTACCTTGAGACCAAACAAAGTTATTCCATATCTTGTTTGCAGGTATCAGCCTCCACATGTTAGAAGAAAGCTGAAGATACAAGATCTAGTCAACAAATACCGCCACAAACTTGCAGAAGCAGACTTTTATACATCACTTTTTCAAGACCCATGATGTAACAAACCCTGTATACAGTTTATGTAGGGTATGTGTATGAAAATACAATGATATTATATTGCGTAGAAAGTGTGGACCTTGGTGTGGGGCACAGTGCTCTTCATGAAAGATAAAATTCAACGAAATGTGTTAGATATTTGAAAATGAAAACATCATATATGGATATTTTCTGAATGTTGCTGAAAGAAAGGAATATTTGGTTAAGTTGATTATTGACTCTAGTTTGTCAACCTTCAGAACCACTTTTTGACCTGTTTGTGTTGGATATCTCCTTCCAAGTCAATACATAAAATCTTCAAGCTTGCCACAGGTACACTACTTGAGAGTTTGTAAAGATAGGAATTCATATTAGCCTGTTGTTGTCTTATACTATGACAACATGATTTCCATGGTTACAATAGGTTTAGGAGTTGTTAGCTGGTATATACTAGCATGTACTCAAAGATTAAGATTAGTCATTCTTCTTAGTCTGCCTAAAAGAAAAATCGTATGTTGTTTTGTACAGCTGTGTCTGGTACATTTATTATACAAATAGTATTAATGATCTATCAACACGTGATAATGTGGTCAATGTTAACTGTAGTTTTATGTCACCACCACAATTAGTGGCATATTGTTACAGTCTCCAACTTTTTTATGGACTGTGTTCCGCAGTTGGTATTCTGCGTCTGTAACCAATGGCAGGTAGTGAAATTTTGCATGTTAATTCTTGTTTGTTTTGTAGTTGCATTGTATCTTTTGCATGCATCAAGCTAGTATTGACAATTCAGTGAAGTATGGTTGAATGTATTCAACACAGTTATAATTTTCAGTATACATTTTTTGTATACGTATGTGTTAAAAAGACAATGAATGTTTCTCGAATGATATTACAAATAATGATTTTACAATGAAAATTGTAGTCATATATAATTGCATGAACTCAGCATTTCCAGATAGTTCATGAAAGGTAGAATCAGAGAACATAGAGAGGAAATTTTAGTATTATTCAGTATCTCATATCATTCCTTTGTCTCCCAAAACATTATGTTTATGTTTCTTGATTTGGACCATAGATTGATCATACATAGAAGATTTCTTTCCTCAGTGTCACCCCTATATCTCTGATTCTAGCTTTTACAGTACACAAAGAATTGTAAACAGTAACTTATTGATTGTAGAGATAGAGATATTTTTATAGAATAATGTTGAATGTATGCAGTGGAGGATCAATAAGTATGAGACACCATTGAGTTGCAACGAGACACCAATCAATGAATGATTGCATGGATATTCAATAAATGTCAATTCTATAAGCCTCTAAATGTCCTTCAACTGCTCTTTTGTTGTCGATAAGGCTCGGGTGGGATTAATAGACACAATAAATTACTTTACTGGTCTTGCATTAGTTTCTGATCCCCAATTATCTTTTTCCCCATCCTATTAATTCTTGGGCAAGCATGTGTGTAAATGGAGGTACATAGACAACTAATACAAGACTAGCTTTTCAGAAACTAGATCCATTAATGTGGATATATTTTGTAGATAATTGCCAAACACAATTTGGAAGTTATTGCCAACAATTGCATAGCAACTGAATTTTTCCTCATTTTAATCACAGAGAGTAGTAAGTTCAATAAGTCCATTTTATATTCAGATTAATATGCAAATTACTTTGGAAAAGAATGTCTAAAACTTTTGATGATCAGGTGAAATTGAATTGTTATATTTGTGGTTTTGACTAATATGTACCTCTTAATGGTCCTCCAAGTGCATACATTAAAAGAATGTAGATTAACTTGCAGTTTTCTATCATGTATTTATTCTCCAGGAATCAAAAATGTGATTGCATGCCATGTTATATTTGGTTAGTATAATAATGTCATGCTTGATGAATAATAAATAAAAAGTCAATACATAACAAATATTTTCAAATGTTTGTTATTAACATGATTTCAAAAAAGGTAAATATACAAAGTAATTGACATTTGACATTGACATTTGGAGACCTTATATGGTTGTTTGTATGTCCGTATGTATTTCCACAAACATGTGAGATACCTTTGACGTCAACCTACTCTGCTCTCAATAGATCGTACACAGACATGAACTTTTGGTGAAGTCGCTTTAAATCTTTTGTTATTCTGGATTTTATTTGTTAAAGTAATATAAGTTTCTTAATAATTCATATTTAATGTGAACTAGATCAATTTAACTTGACAATGTTGTAGGCCTCAATGAATGATTATATTCGTGCATTTGATCCAAACAAAAATTGTCATGGATACTATGGTATATAATACTACATATTATTATTCCATATATGGATAGCTATTTATTGTTTTTCATCTGAATAAGTTCTGCCATAGATCGGTGCTCCCTCATCTCTTCTAACATATGCTGTAGCTGTATACTGTTCCTTCTAGCGCCCACTCTGTTGCCCGTATGGTAGGGTATTCCCTTTAATTTTGGTGCCTCTATGCGCAATGGCTTAAAACTATCCTCATTTTCGAATGATTGTTCATCCGTATCGGAGACTAGGCGACTAAGCGATGGACGTCTTTCCCGATTTGATCCGAGTTTTGGTAGTGATACTCCATTCCCACCGGATGTATTGATGGTTTTTGCGTTTGGAGACGAGTTTATGAGTTTAGACACTGTAACCGATTTCCCCTTATTTGAAGTCGTTTGTGGATATGTTTGGTTACCGAATGGACGACCATTCGATTGTTCTCTGCTTGGTTGTTTGATTGGCCCTTGTTTCATGAAAGCAATGGACGTCTTCCTAAAATTGCATGTTTCGTCATTGCCATGTGTCCAAATGGATGTTCGTTTGGATGTAGAGTCCTTTTCCTCTATGGTATCCAAGGAATCAATAGATGCAGAGAGCTCTTGAGACAGTGCAGACGGGAGATGTCCCGCTGAATCTATAATGATATTGACTTCATTAAGTTCATCGTCATGCACACACAGGCGAGATATGTCCATTGCATCAATAGTATTACTGCGCTTCAGCAACTTTTTATGGTTTTTGCCCCGATTGTAACTTGCCAAATCGTCCGACATTCTCAACGATTTGACATCTTTAGTCATTTCATCCACCTCTTGATCGACCGAGGCGTTTTGCTTCGGCAAGTTATCGTTTTCACTAACGTTTGCTGTATCATCTACATCAGGAGGTTTCGATGATTTTGCCATTAACTCAGCCCCAATTATCGGCTCATTCCCGTTAATTGCATCCAACGTATCTTGGTGATTGTCATAGGTTCTACTAAATACCTCTTCTAGTGTTTGATCTTGCAGTTTAGTGTCACTCCCTTGATGCAGAAAAGCATGGTTATTACTGTCATTTTTATGAATTTGAAAACCAGAAACATAAGATCGTTCGTAATTTTTCACCGATTCAGATTGCACTTCGGCATCAATGGACTTCTCTATAGACGCAGTTTCATTAAAATCGTTTGCTTCTTTGGACTGTACTTCCTTCGCTGTTGTTTTAGTGTTACCGTTCTTGTCTACTGCAATTGGTTTACGGGATTTTGGATGACCCATTAGATCTCTGTCACTTATGATTGTTGAAGGCAGACTTGAGACGCTATGTCGTCTGAGATTCGTTCTGCCAGTGGACAATGCAGTACACGACCCCATGTATGTGTCTGGGTTGATCCCATGGAATGCCTTAACAAATTCTTTAAGTCTTTTTTTCTTTTCTAAATTTTCTCTTGCCAAGTCTATTTTGCGGAGTGCAAGCCGCGCTTTGCACACAACGGCAGATACAGGTCTTGCATTCGGTACGTCTATTGCATGTTTTTGTTTCTTTGACGGCGTTAGATTATCGTCCATATTTTCCAATAATTCAGATCCTTTATAAGGCCGGGACTCCTTACTGTTTTTAATTTTTTCATTCTCGTATTCAGTCAGCTCATCTTCAAGAGTATGCGTGTATCGCACTATTTGCCTGTTTCTACTCTTGAATGCTTTATCCAGTCTCATCCACTCTCTTTCCAATTTTCTTTGCTCTGATGCAATGACATTGTTCGCACTGTTTAATTGCTGACTCCTTCGTTTCATCGTAGATCTAGCACCAGGCATCTTGGCCAAATCTGAAGCAAACATTTCAACAATTATCCTGAGTTCAATTAATGCCACAGTCGGCTGAGAAAAGCCAAACTTAGAATTGCTTCGAAAGTGTGATATGGCAGGTATATTGATAGCATTGGTAATCAATGGCGGTTTCTATGGATGTTTTATGTATCAATATAATTTACAAATAAAGAAATCGTGCTTATTACTTGCTCTGATATGTTTTATTCCGTGCTGATTCTAATCCAAATTGACTTTACGTCCTTAGTCTATTCAACTGGAAGGTATGGATTATTTTATCTTCAGGTTGCAAGCAGTTGAAGTGCGTAAATTGCCATAAGTTCCACTGATAACTCTTCAAGTGGATGAAATAACACTTGAATTTATATTAACTCTCAACTTTATGAAATCTAGGTATCATTTTATTTGCTATTTTCTTATTTTATTAGTTCACAACCCTGACCTTCTTTTGGTTATGGATCCTGAGTATAGCATGTTGTTGAACGAGCCTATTCAAATGTTTTCAAACACCTATCTCTATTTTGACACTTTCGTTTTTGAAGCTGAGAAATGCATATTGACAAAGTTCAGTGGTTACATTCGTATAAAAATTCTATTCAGATTTCTTTTGAATGTTTGTCAATGGTATCCTGTTACACCGAACTCGTTGAAATGTGTTTAAAAAGCATGTCATAATTATTTTCGACAATACGTCTTTCTATCGGAGAGTTCATTCATTGTACTGTTCGAAACGATGCAAAACTTATTCAAAAACTGATTTATTGTAACTGTTTAAAATTTTCCCAGTAAAACGTTGATGAAACATTGAGGCTTTTTCAATATATCTTAAAACAAGATATAATCGAAAGTACTTTCACACAGGACACTTCATAGTATTTAATCTATTCACAATTTTAGATCTTAAAATATTAAAAATTGCACGTAAATTATAAATAAAAATAGACTAGAAATTTTTAAATGATCATAAAACCTTAATTCAATTAGAAATACAAAAATATACTTTCCATCCATTTAATTTTAATACCTTTACCCATGCACTGGACGTAATTAGTACACCTCCGTGGATAATTTTTATTAATGATACAAATAAGTGATGAATTATTCTTACCTCGTATTTTGTGCATGGCTTTCGCTTAAAATGAATGAGGAAGGAATGAAACCAAATATTAATCAGTTCTTTATCGTCAATCATGGTATTATTCATAATTTCAAGATTTCCAATAAACGCTTCATTTGTTTGTATTTACTTGACACACAAACGCCTCCAATCCCAATAGCCCGTCATTGTTTTTCGTCATGATAAACCTCTTGAATATAAAATTCTGAGGCAATGTATGCTAAGTCAATGATTGCTCCAGATTAGGTAGAATTTGTAATCCATTGGGTGAACAACTCAGAAGCAATGTTTACGATTAAAAACAAACAATGTATTCTTCACCAACCCAAACAGAATAACATCTCAAAAGAGATCTAAGAACCAGATATAGCAAGAAATAAGAGTTAGTTCTTTGAAATTATAAATATTTGTTAAATAGAGAACAAATGTTGTTCTGAAGTACTAGCAATGTGAGTAGCAGTGTCAAATGATTAGATCTCTAAACTTCTAACATCAGCACGTCCTTAAAGGGTGATTTCCCGTAAATCCGATCCCCTTAATATCTTATTCCATAAATAGTACCATGGGTACTGGATTAATGTGGTGAATGTGCATTCTGGACACTTTTGTTAACCCATACACTTTGTTGCCTGTATAATTAAGCAAATCAATGTGATAGTGTACTTTTGGATTTATAACATAAACAATAAACGTGGCGGCGAATTAAATCTTTGCAACATATTTTTGCCGAAAATTTGTAGACATTATTGATAACCAATAAATTAAGGTACATGTACAATTTCAAGCCAATTGATTAATTTGAACTGAAACGGCCAAGCAGTAAAACTCAATTTTGTTCTTGCCACATTGCTTCACAGGCGAGCAGTTGACGATAGCACTGAACAAATTGCACTTTTATCGAGTTTGGATGTTTTCTTAATAGAATGGCATGATTGTATCAAATTCTAGGTTATTATGTATAAAAACCAATATAGAGTTAATGAAGATCGGAATAACAAAAACTGCCATTTTGATAATTGCCCATTAACGGATTTTAAAGAATGTAAAAGTGGGGAGGGGTGTTTCCATGGGTTTCAATTCTCAACGAAAGTCAAGTAGCTAGCTACACTAGTAGTGCCACGCGTATTGTCTTGTTTTTAAATTCTCTCGAAAACAATATTTTAAGACGAACACGGAAAAACTGAAGATTGTACTGCGCAATAAATATCCCCAAAATCGTAAACAACAATAGAGATCAATAATGTCCTGGTGCCTGGAGACAATCGACAAATCAATGAGATGGCAATAATCACCATTGATCCTTTGAGGCTTCTGGGACGGGCGACGTGCCCTTCTACAACTACATGTTCCCAAACGAACAGATTCTACCCAATCGATAACAAAAACTTGACAATAACATGTATTATTTTCTAAGAGTTCACCTGACATTTTTGAAGTAGGTCTTTTACGATTTTACACACAACATCAATTGTGCAAAATATTAAATTAGCAAATAGCCCTGTTTGTACACTGGGGATTGTATTTCAACAAATGGAAGAATATTAGTTAATGTTGGATAGTCAATGTCCTCAAATCTCCTGAAAAGGTCATTATGCATTGTCCCATCAAAGAACTAGGTTTCCTAAAAGGTATATTATCCTCAGTTTCCCCATGAGGTCACTGATTTTCAGTTCCGTACGGTCACTCATTGCCTACTACTATATAATGCGTGCGAGTCTATTATATTCATACACATAGCTATCACTGAATTTATCGATTGAACTGATAATTATGTAATTGTCTTATTGTATATTGATACGATTGTCTCTGGTGGTACTTGAGCAGGCCCCTATACTTTCATAGAAAATCGTATCTGAAGTGTTAGATTACAAGACCATCCTTAATCATGTTAATGAAGTGGACAAGATTAGACCATGTAATGATGAAACATGTTAAGCGAATTAAGAAATTCCATGTCTAAAGACAGCGGTTCGAAAAAACGGTAACTTTGTCTTTAACAATGTGTCACTACATTCACCATCGCTTCTTGGTGGCGACATAAAAAGTTACTCCATAGATTTTCAAGAGAATCACAGAATTCGTCACGACAAGCTGTTGACCGTTATATGACTAAAGAAGACAGGAATTTAAACAGTATTCTATCTGTTTATGAGAGATAAACGTCAGGATTGCCAAGAGTCATAAGAAAATTGGTTAAAGTGAGTCAAGAAGGATGCTTTTAAAATATTCTGGCCATGTCATTAGTATACTATAGGCATTAACATAGAAATGTCATCACCTTCTATTGTCACAGACGCCGAACACCAACCGCCAAACATCCACAAAAAAGTTGAAGACCATAGCCTAACAATATGTCATCACTTGTGATGGTGACATAACAAGTCTATACAATGCTGACTAGTGAAACAAATTATAGCCTCAAGAGTGAGTCTACCTACTCATATTCATATAAAGTGGGGAAAGATCTATAATGTTACTATTCAACCGGGAGTTCTGATAAAGTTACCAAGTTACAGTACCTCTTATAATAGCATACAGTCTAATAAATGTCAAGGTTAATCAACAGTTATTGCGGACAGGATAACACTTGAGCACTTGTTGAGTGCTGCATATACGGACACTCAAATTTGCATTTGCATCTTCGCACTGTTTTAACGTAAGCTATGGTTTTTCATATTATCATAATTTTACTTTTTTGTTGATGCTTGAAACAGAAGATACGTGAAGTACTACTCTAGTATCACAAATGAAATCACACAGTACACTGTGTACTATTATATACAGTAAAACCTGTCTTAGTGAACACCTCTCTCTAGTGAACACCTGTCTAGTGGACACCCTTCCTACGCACATAGCCCACTGACTTCTGTATAAATTACCCTCTCTCTAGTGAACACCTACCTACAGTGAACGTTTTTTCTTGGCAAAAAATGTTCACTATACACAAGTTTTACTGTAAAATAAACTATAATTTTTTTATATACCAGTGCCCTATACATGTTCCTGGACACTATAATCCATAAATATAATTCAAAACCAAGCACTTGAGTAAAGCAAATATTTTTTATTCATGAAATATAATTTATACTGTGCATAATACTATATAACGTCTAACGCAATGCAATCTACAAAATAGCATAAAAATACAGTGAGCTTAAAAATGATGGTTCTAAAAAGAAGCACATTTTTAAAGGCTCACAGCTGATCTCTTATAATATAGACCTATTTGAGTTGTTCTGCAGCCATGCTAGATATGATACATGTATGTACTAATTTATAATTACTTGGCAACAATTTAGGCTCATATTGCAAACACTTCTTTATAAATCTACAGGCTATTCTTTAATATATAGTTAATATATAGTTGTACATCAAACACCCTAGCCTTGCCCAAGTCGGTCTCTTTTACTATCTTGATTTCTATTATGACCGCCGGTAATAATTCAAGATCAGATAAGTAAAAAATATCGACTTGGGCAAGGCTACAAACACCCAGGATCAAACATTTCTTTTATTGACATAAACTGACCATCAAATACACGATGCATTCGTTGCTTAAACAAAAATTCTAACTTAAGAAACAAAACTACTTTGACTAATAACCCTAACATATTTCTGCAACTGTTCTATAACTATAATCAGTACAGGTAGTAATGTGCCTTCGAAGGAGAAGGTACATGTACATAAACGTATTTATGGAAAAAGTTTTTCAAGAAACAATTTACACTGTAAGTTAGTGTGCTGCGTTTCCATAGTTTTTAAGGAATGATTAATAAACATAACCAGAGTCTAAAAATAATATATGAATACAACTTCACATATATTTGAGTGGATTTGATGCATGACTAGGCTTCACAGCTGTATATACCATAATGGTAATGCCAAATCAATATGAAGCATCAACACACAAATCAAGTTTTAGAATCATTTCACTAAGTGCACAAAGAAAAAAGTATATTAATGTTCAAACCAACAGAAAAATCATATTATAAAATGACTTTTCTTCCTAAACAATACACATAAGCGATTAACATGAATGATACATTATAAGCTATTGTACCTGTAATTATGTACAGTAAGCATTGTGCAAGACATCTGAGACATTAATCATAATGTAGTTTATAAAATGTGTATATCTACTTTGGTATACTATATAGTTTTGCTATGTGTCTAACCGCATGCAAGACCAGACATGATTATTTCTTTATATTAAAAATCAATGCTTAATGATGTTTATATTATAAGTACCACATTTTAAAAACGGTAGAAGTACCATCAATCATGCACTATCACGTAATTATGTATTATTATGATTCACAAATTGAAATTCTGGTAGATCAACTGAACACTATTTCCCACTGCATGCAAGTGAGAGAAAAATATATTTTTCCAAACATTATTGCATTTTCATAAAACTACATGTACATGTGTGAAATGTAGTTCTGTCTTTTTAAAGTTAATTCAATCACAACAGATTGATATGTTTAAATCAATTGAAATCAATGTCAAGTCTGATATCAAGATTAATTCTGGTCAAGAAACTGAACACAGAATGTTTCATTTCATTCATGCCTAGTCTGAATATTTCAAAAATAATACAGTCTATTCACAAACATCATCATAAAGTTTTAGTTCTATCGCTTTTGAAGTTCCAGAACTATGGCCTTCCAAAGATACACAGCATGTGCAGGTGTTATGTCATCTGGAACATGTTCGTTCATAATTTTCAGGAAGTTCTGTTCTGGGTCTGACACAACCTGGTTCCTGTCATTAATGTAGGCATCCAGCGTGTAACTCAGACTGCAACAGAAACAACAATTATAATGTTATCTTACAAAATAAAGTGGCACTTTAAAGTCAGTTATGGACTACACGACAATACCTAAGAATACAATAATACCTAAATTATATACCTTAGTATAAATTAAAATGAAATATATTATTTTTCCAAATATCATTCAAGTTTTAACAAATTTTTATGACAAGTTAATTTAAAAAGTAGTTTTTTGGAAATTATGATATTCACGATGACCATCATATATTTGAAAAAATTGGCCAATCAGATCATTACTTAGAATTAATACCTTGCATTTAGTGAGTACATCCGTTCTTCCTGCGTTTGATTAGCAAGATGCAACATAATACACTCATAGAGTTCCATAAGGAGTCTAGTAAGTTCCATGTGTTTTATCTGTTCCATCACTTTACTGTCACCTGGTAACTCCTCTTTGTATTCACTTGGAACATCATCAAATGGATCCTAAGATATAAAAATTTTACATCAATTAATAATTACATCTATTTTTCAAGTAAAGTGAGAACATTCCAATCTTATAATCAATATTGCTTGCTCTTCGAGCTGCAGGAAATATACTGAGGGAAAGATAAACATGTTTTCAAACGTTATGTACTTGTGCTCTAAGAATAAAACATGTGATTGTCTCAAAATTTTGTTTACATACCTTTCCAAGATTAGCTATATATAACTGCCTGGCTGCCTCTGTTGCTACCAGCTGCCATAATGACATCATCTGCTGCAGTTCTGCTTGGGATAGTACCTACAATACACCATGTATCAACATGAAAAAAGAGACACCTTTTGTTTATACAGGATAGGAATATCTTGCTGTTTTCAATCATATTTGTTGTGATTAACTGCAGAAAGAAGTTTGAAGTTTCTAATTTTTTTTAAAATCGTTTTTAATACTCTCAGATGGCTTCATGCCGATTATCTGCATGTGGGGCAAAATAGTATAATTTCAAAATATTGAACTACTAATAATATGTGCACACTTCTTGTACATCTCCAAATTAGCATGTTAATTATGATGACATAAACAATGTACTTACACTGACTATGGTAGATTGAGTATTGGGATGGCCAATCATATCCCTCATATAGTCATAGACCTTCATGTCAGGTGTCCCACCGGTGGTAGCGACAAAGCCAATAGCAAGTTCAACCACTCTCAGTGTACTATACACTTCAGATATGTCTTTCATAGCCTGGAGGATGGCTTTCTGTGTCTCCTTCTGTATTGCCTTCTGGGGTATTCTTTCCCTCAGAGATTGGTATGTCTTCAACTCAACCATTCTTGTCTCCCATTTAAATGTGAAGAATGGAACCTGGGAAGTATAGAGTGCATGTAAGTTGGGATGCTTAACTAAGCTATACTAAAGTATTTTTGAGGGGGCTAAGCTTCCATTTTAAAAGGACATGTCCATAAATATAAACATGCGGTACTAACTTCGACCATTAATTTGAATCTTTGACCTACCAGATGTTTGAAAATCAAGGATTACGAGTCTCATACTGCACCATTTTTCTTCAAACTTGTTCTATTCAAAGCATAACAAAAATGGCTTTCTGTTGGTACATTATTCTGTTATACAAAATTCCTACTTCCAGTGGCATTTTGGTCCCCAACTGTGAGAAGGACTTCTAACAGCTGGGGACCAAAACGCTGCTAAAACGAGGGACTCTTTACAATAAAGCAATGCACCGACAGAAAGGCAATTTTGTTTTCCTTTGAATGGAACAAGTTTAAAGAAAAATGGTGCAGTATCAGTCTTGCAGTCCTTGATTTTCAAACATCTGGTAGATCAAAAATTCAAATTAACGGTTGAAGTTAGTACCGCATGATAAACGTACAGTAAAATCTAAGTGTAACTACTTTGATACCTCTCAAGTGTTCCATTTTAGAGGTGTTCCACTTACAGAGATTCATTTAACATTAAGTCTGTTGAGCTTTGGACTCTGAAAAGTGTTCCACTTCCAGGGGTGTTTCACTTTACAAATTTCACTAAAAGTGTAAAATAGTTTTGAATGTTGTACTATAAGTGCCAGTGGTACATTGTATATACTGTACCTGCCCAGTTATAATTGTATATACTGTACCTGCCCAGTTATAATAGGTTTCCCCTTGATGAACCTATTGAAGAGCTGTTTTTCAAGAGCTGCAAAATTGTATTTGACAGTCGTTCCCTGTCCTTGTCTTAAGGAGTATTCACAATTGGATAGCACGAGTGGAATCATGTCCCGTTCCCTGACATATGATATCATGTGTTGTTTCCCAACAGCAGTCACCTTCACATCATTTCCAGCACTATAACACACAACATTTGCAATGTTTTCATCACATCAGAATCTGTTGTAATTGGTACAACACATTATGATTTCAATTCATTGGCACCAAATTTGTCATTACACTGCATGATTACCAGAGTCTAGCTTCAAGTCCTTGTGACCTCCCCACTACACACCTCCCTGTGTACAAAGGTGTGTAGTTAAGAAGTGAGAGGGGGTGTCAATTTGACAATCAAGTAATATGCGAGGGTGACATGCTAATATTACTAATACTAATCTAATCATTTACATATACATTATTACAATACAATACAATACAATATTTGTTTTTTTCCGGAACAACAATATGTTAATTTCCCTCAGTAATAATGGCTAAAATCACAAAATTAATAAACCTGAATGAAATGCAATACCTTTTTGTCTCTTTGGCAAAAGCAATCAAGCTGTTATGCACATTCTTTAATTGGTTGACCAGTTCCAACGTCCACATTCCTGTGCCTTTCAGCTTTATGAACAAGACCCCAGCATTGCTATCCATATTAAGCTGATTGACAGTCTTAACTCCCTCTATTTCTAAAATATAAATTATTGTACACATCTTAAATCATAATAGTGTTCCATTACTATACATGGAGATGAGAACATAAACTAAAGTGATGGATAGACCCTTATACTGTAGCCCATGGATGGACTTATTTAGATATTATTTCACTTGATATGGAGGAAGTTAGTTGAACTTTGCAATGTTTTTGTACAAACAGGCAACATCCATGCCTCAGAGCATCTGGTAAGAGCTGAACGAAATGAAGTAAACAAGTAAAAATGAATACCTGTTGGCAAATAGTGTCTCGTATTATTCCACACTTTGATGAATATGCTGATGAGATCTGTCAGTTCTTCTTTCATGTAATCTGCAGATGTGAACAATAAAGACAAGGATGATTATATCCATAAACATATAAGGTCAATATAATGCATGCATTTACCAAATAGAATCAGTCAAAACCTACTATTTTGCTTCACATCAGTGAAGTATATTCAGTGTGCCGATGTTACAAACATATACACTTAAGAAAATAGAGCATGTAGTTCATGTAATGTACATACATATACTATAATATAGCTAAACATTACAGTCAATTAATTCCAAGTATATTATTCCCTAAACTTACCAGGTACCAAATCAACAATATCATTGATAGTGTTCTCATCTAGTTGACTATCTGAAATGCTGAGTGCAAGTCTGTTGGACAACATCTGGAGGAGCTGAACAATGGATGGAAGATGCTGTGTGCAGCTGACCAACCTCTCCTACAAACAGAAAAAGTAATTTCATCTACCAAATGTTTTTGCACATTGGTGGAATACTGCTTTGTATTTTGACAAATTAAACCTTTTTGATGTAAAGATACATTTTTAGGAGAAAATAGAATACATTGTTTGCACGTTTTTAAAACACAGTAAAAGAATTTAGGTTCAATAACATCACAACAGAAAAGCAAAGATAGACTCTTTGAAATTTTATAATGATACAACTATCATATGGAAAGGGGTTTGGAACAGCATTTTGTTCAATATTTAAGTATGTACCTGCTTGAGGAACTGATTCAAGAAGTGACAATCTCTGTATTGGTCACTGGCTTCAAAAGCATGGTGTAGATTTTCAAGTGTAATCCTCTGTCTGTATGTCCACATGTTTGGCTCAGCAAATAGGCATTTCACATTCAATTTTACAGATACCCTCTCATGTATAAACTGCATAAGTGGATTCTGACCTGTAATTTTAAAAACATGATTAATATATACATGTGCACTTATTTTTTAATTTTTTTTTTTTTTTTTTTTTTTATAATTTTTTTATTTCAAAGAATAAGCATGCTAAAGCAATTGCAAAAAACAATTACAGTACATGTAATCCTACATTTAACAATTTTACAATACAGTACAGTGGTTAAATATTTCGTCTTAAGAGACGTTATACCATTGGCATTTTTTTATTTATTTAAAGGAAAAAATCATCAGTTTCATTTGTTTAATTTTGTTTCCATGATTTTCCACTTATCGCCTCTGCCAACCCGTTTGTCCATAATAAAATATTCCTTCACATTACTTATAAAACCTTTAAGTGTTGGTTTTAGCATAGAATATTTGCACAAATAAACATACCTTTTAAAAATACATAGCATATTATTTAAGATGATTGTCTTCTCATTTATACTCTCAGGTCCTATCAATACATTTTGTTTAGTGCATAGCATTGTCATTATTTTTTAATGATGGGTATCATTTTATGGATGGGCATTATCTTGGATATGATGAAATGCTGATACATGTACCTCACATTGTTTCAATGTCATTGATCAATTGTTAAGATGTGAAGGATTTGTTTGCATCTTTTAAAATGTGTTAATTCTATGTGTTTTTAAAAATAGTTATGTAAAGAATACCTATTCGTTTGTCATTCTGTATCATATCATTAGCTCCATCGAGAAGATTATCTTGGTCCTAAAAGTAATTATATATGACAATTATATGATATGCCAATTGAAAAAAACTTATGGTCATAGGTTTATGATAGTTCAATTGTAAAATTTCATTTCTCAGATACTTTCGAGTTCTGACTAAAGTTGCTTAAATAATGCTCGTTGTCATTTCGTATGACTATATGTCTTCATTATATCAATACAATATCATGGGCCAATATAAAACTATCAGAAGTGTAGTCTGCATGTTATTCATTACATATATGGACTACATCACAATCTTTTTTATGAACCTATGTATACCTTCAGCACAGGGTTTATGTATGTGTCTGCAAAATTCGCCTCCCATGTTCTTCTCGACTGTTTCGAACTCAATGTGTTGTCATTACCCCAGCCCTTTTTAACTACATCAGAAAAACAAGAGCCATTAATATACAAATAAATATATATTTTTCTATAACAACTGAAACAGATACACAAGCATACACAAAATCAAAACTGCAACAAGAATCTCATGAATCTAACTAATGAAATTGTATAACATATTCATAATAATAGTCATTCTCTATGTTTTCTGAAGGTAATGTGTTACTGTCAATCCACCAAGGGAAACTGCATTCGTCATCAGAGAAATAAATTCCTAATACTACAAAAAATCTTGCCTTCTGTAGTTTTGATGATCTGATCCATTATCATATGCAGCAGCAGAGAACAGTCATCTACACTTTTACCACAGGCTCTGGCAAGTTGTCTGATGTTAGCATCAAGATGGCCATACAGGAAAGTTTCCAAATCAACAGGCTGATTGCTTACAATAAGCCTGTTTATATCCTATATCACAAACAAATACTTCGTATTATTATATTATATTTATCACTCACCACCACTTACCATAAGGTAAATGCATATGCTGTTATTACATTTTTATTATTTTTCACCAAAACAACATTGTGTACATGTAAAAGTGTCTGTTGATGTAAAATAAATGTATATTAGTATTTTAGTTTGAAAATAAAAATATGTCACCAACTAAAAAAATATGGTTCGCTGAATAATAATGTCTTCTTTCATTCTTAAAATCTCTACAATATATGAAAAAAAGATAAGATGTATGAAGATATGACCCCATTATCAAACCACACATTTGTCAAGAAACATATGAGTATACTGAATGAAGAACTTTTTGGATAAACGGAATATTGGTTATTGGTTCAATCAATCATACCTTAGGATTTGCAGTTGCACCAAGCAGCATGGTACCATGAAGGATGAACCTTAGTACAAGAGTACAAGATACACTCAACTCACGTTCTGGATACACTGTAGCAGTATTATCAGGATGGCCCAAGATATGACCATGGTTAGTGTTGTCTTTCCTATAATAACATTTTATAAACTGCATCATTTTCAGATGGTTTTTACTGTTAATATATTGGATTATTTCATCTATCCTTAGGTTACATAATACTTCCATGTAAACAAGTTAAATATATTATTTCAATCTATGAATGAACCAAAGGATTTCACATTATCATGTATTGTGTATACTCTTCTACAGATGTATGATAGGGGTGTAGAAACCAATCAAGAATCAAACAGTATAGTAATATGAAAATGGTTACTGACATATCTGGTGTTCTTTTATTCCCTGGTTCAAGCTTGTAGCTAATACCACCAATTTTATTCTTGCACTCTGGACACTGTGCCACCATGGCTGCATTGTGACACTGAAAAAGAAATTACATAAATATAATATTTTTCATAAAAATATGCATTAAAATTAAATATACAACTATTAAAACCATCTATTACTGAGATATAGAATACTATTATATGACATTTACATATTATTTGTACTTTATACCAAATAAATTTATTATAGTTTTTCAAACTGACTTACATCACCAATTGTATATGGGTGTCCCTTTGGGCAAACTGAAAAACAGAATTCCCAAATGACATATATTACAAGAGACAGCTCATACGTGCCACTACATTGCTAATGAGATTTACATACATGTGCAATGCACATGTTTACTTTGTTCCAGGAGAACTTACAACAATGTGTTATTTTCCTCTTTTTATTGTTGCCATTTTTATTTGGGAGAATTTAACCACTCGTCTCCCATTTTTGCGCTTTGAATCCTTAATAACTTCACCAATTTATAACAATTCTCTGATCTTTTTGGAGTTTTTTGAGATCATGAGGCATAAATTGGTAGGCCAATGTTGTTTGATATTTTCTCACGCCCCATAGATTTGATTCTACCTTTAAAGCTTTCTCAATACAAAAATTTAAATATTTCACTTACCATACCATGCAGCATCTGGTGTGTCCCCTACTTTCATCAAGACTTCCTTTACTTCCAGTAATACAGACTCGGGCATTGTAGGCAGGAATTTATCATGCATTACCTGGGGCTCTCTCATAATCTGGACAAATGGCTCTAATGTTGAAACATCTGCGGAAGTGGCGATTGTTACAGCTAGATGGTCCAGTAAGGATGTCAACAATCTGTCAACTCCTGATTGTTCTGGTCTAACATTAAGTTTAGTGAAGTCCTGTCCAAGGTTATTGTACGCCAACTTACCAGCCAATTGCTGAAATTGTCCAATACATCAACTGCCACAATTATCTTATAATCCTAGTATTATTAAATCAAAAGCAAGTATCCATATAAAGGGAGGTAAATGTAAGGCATACACATCTACATCTAATATCCTGGAAATTACCATGCTATACTTTTCAAATGTAAGAAACTTACTGATATATGAGCATCAGAGAAGAGATCCAAGTCATCCACAAAACCTGAGAACGTTTTTAAAACATTGGGTTGAACATGCCTTGCGCTTTCCAAAAGTCTGTGTCGCTCCTTGAATTCTGTTGATATGGCCATCAGAAAATATGTCTTTTGAATCTTTACAGGGGTATCGACCATTTCCTAAATTGTAATCAATTTTTGTAAATATTACAAGAAATGTCACAGACCAGCTATAGATATAGTATAAATGTCAGGCCCGTAGCCAGGGGGGGGGTTCGGGCGATCCCCCATGGCCAAAATTTCTTTCAAAATCATGCAGTTTTTCACCATTCTGACTATTTTTTGAGTGATTTTTGGCCAAATTTGTCAAAGTGAACCCCCCTAGATTTTTTGGGAAAAGTGAACCCTCCCTTGGAAAATTCAGGTTACGGGCCTGAATGTCACAGTGTATTTTAGGATATGATTTTAAATTTTCCATCACATTATTTGACAACACCTCAATACACAAAATGATGAATGCAACATTGTAAATAACTTAGGATGTGTGTGTCATTTCCAATGTCCACATAACAGCTATACACTTTTTCTACTTGATGGATGGCAATGTTATAGACTAAACATACATACCTTGGACAATCTCTCCAACTTTTCAAAGTCATTATCCAAAATACATTCTGAAATTGTTTCCCTCACTTTTGAATATTCTTCACCTGCTACTATGTATTGGTCTGGCAATGCATCATTCTATAAAACAGAAGCATTAATTATGTCACTATACTGACCAGTTTGCTTGATTTATAATATTTCGATACAAATAATCAAGTCAAGTATTTACTGCATCTGTAGGTATGCTTGTGTACCCATTCAAAATTACAGATAAATTTAGTCTAAAATGGACATACCGGGTCTGGTTTTGCTTTGTCTGGAACTAACCAAGCAAGATCTCTGTTGCGTGTTATGTTTTCTAAACAGCTTTTACCATAACGGTGACACAACTGTTTGAGTAAGAATATCAAAGCACATTCTTGACTTTTTACTGCAACATCAGATTCAGAAGCCGCATTTCCATGGCATAATTTGTATGCCTCCTCAAACAATCTTTTCTGTGCCAAGGAGCGTGATTTTTGTTGTGAAACATCATCGTCTGAATAGAGATTGTACAACTCCTTTGCTGTAACTGTTAAGCCGAATTGTGCACCTGCGATGGCCTCTAAAAGCTCCATTCTCGGATTACTTGGTTCAAATTCTGCCAACCATGTATTGGCAGCATCTAGTTTCTCAATTGCAAGAACAAGATTGTCTTTGGTATCTTCATGGTATGAATCCTTGAAAATTAAGATTATTTTATATCAGGCAATTCATTTTGATCTCTAATATTTTTAATACTCTTTGGATAGAAGTTCAGATGATCTTAAATTTGTTTGCTGTATTCACAAGTACTAATAAATAGCCCATGGGTACTGGGCTCACATGGTATTGCTCAGAAAGAGAAAAATGAATGATGGCTAAAATGTCAGACAATAAAAATGAATGAATTTTCCGCAACTAAAACGGCAGCCACTTTGAAAATAGGCAAGCTTTTGAACCTGGACTCACAGGAGGGACTTCTGTATTAAAGAGGAACCAAAATAATTTAAAACAGGAATCTCATTGACCCAGGTTATAAAACATGCTTCTATTGTTGACTGACTGAGAGACAAACGGACAAATCAATATTAACTAGAATGGCTGAAAATAAACAGATATATTTTTTGCAGACCATTTTAAAATTAGGCAATCTTATGAACCAGAAGTTGTAAGGGGATTTTCTGTATTGATGTTGAACAAAAAATAACTTAAAACAGGAATCCTATTGACAGAGGTTTTAAAACAAATGGTCCAAAAGTGGATTTCGCGAGACAGATGGACAATCAATGTTAACTAAAATGGCTGAAAACAAAAAAAAACATATATGATTTTTTGCATATTTTTTTAACAAAATTATTCTATAAAACTACTCTTTAGAGGGACATGCCTTTTTCAAATTATTTATAAAGCTACCAAATGGTCCAAAAGTGAATTTAGTGAGACAAAAATAAAGGCCATTTCGGAAATAGACGAGCTTTTGAACCAGGAGTCATAGGTTTTTCAAAAATAACTTAAAACGGGAATTCTATCGACAGAGGTTTTAAGACGTGCCACTATTGTTGACAGACCGACAAGTGAGCTTTTGAACCAGGAGTCATAGGGGAGTTTTCTGTATTGATGTTGAACAGAAATAACTTAAAACGGATCCTATCGACAGGTTTTAAAACATGCCACTATTGTTGACAGACGGACAAGTGAGTGATTGCAATAGCTCACCATGCACCATGTGAGCTAAAAATAACTTAAGCCGAACACACACCAGTTGGGCATAATAGAACCCCCATAGAATTAACATTGCAAGGGACTTAGCGTTACTTCGTATTGCTCCATGGGACTATTTTGGACTTCGCCCCCATGTAAACTTTTTCATGGGTATCATGGAACTTTTGATCATGTGACATGTCAGGTGACTTTAGATCAAAATGACCATGTCAAATTACACCATTTCACCATTTGAGACTTGAGAGGAAATGATTGGACTTAATGGGACTCTGTTTGGGAAAGTAAACTACGTCCCATGGGACTCCATGGATCTCTATTTGGTTCAATGAGGCAGCAAGTGGTATTTTGCCACATTGGCATATAATGGGCTTAAGCCGATGAGCAGAAGGAAGTTAATTCAAAGGAAAACAGCAATCAAAAGGACTTGAAACATAAAAAAGTGCCAAAGCTACACAAAATTAAAACGATCTGGCAACTTTTGTATATTTAAAATTGGAAACTAACTCTTGCCAAGAGCGATTCTAACAAGCTCAGAATACATACAAATAATACAAACCTCTAGGCAGTGAACAACCAATTTACACAATTCCTGAAAGTCATCTGAATCTTCACCTATCAGTTTCTCACCACTCTGGAGATATGATTCAATGCTTTCCTCAACCTCAGCATTTCTGAAAATGGTAGTGATGTAAGTTTTCATCACATAAATGAAAATATAAATTTAATTTTCGACTTTATTATTAAATCAAGAGTATCTTATATGCTTACCTATCTTTGAGAAGTAGCTTTAGCAAAAATGATCGGAACACTGGGTCGCTGTCACCTCTCTCTTCTTGAAATGGTCCAAACGTTTTTGTTTTAGATTCATCCTTTGATTTCACAATGTGCTTCATGAGGTGCTTACACATTTCTGTTTGGTTTGGACTGTCAGCTGGGAAACAATACTCACTAACGATGTGCATGAAGAATTCAATACATGCTTTCTTGATCACATTGTGAGTTTCAACAGCTTCTCTACAAAGAAGACAAGGGACAGGACGTGAACGAGATCACACCATCAAATAGGCAGACACTATGAACCAGGAAAACTGTTCTCCTATTATGTTTACAAATTTCAAGAACAAGAAACAAGATTTTTCAAAAAACCTTCAAAATGGCCACCAGAAAACAAGATGGCCACCCAAAAGTTAATCAGCTCTAGTACTTGATATCCTCTATCATTTGTGTAAATTTGAAGGAAATCCAATGAGCGGTTTTCCTGAAATGGCGATGACAAGATTTTTCGAAAAACCTTCAAAATGGCCACCAGAAAACAAGATGGCCACCCAAAAGTTAATCAGCTCTAGTACTTGATATCCTCTATCATGTGTGTAAATTTGAAGGAAATCCAATGAGCGGTTTTCCTGAAATGGCGATGACGAGATTTTTCGATAAACCTTCAAAATGGCCACCAGAAAACAAGATGGCCACCCAAAAGTTAATCAGCTCTAGTACTTCATATGCTCTATCATCTCTTCAAATTTGGAGAAAATCTGATGAGCAGTTTTCCTTAAACGGCGATGACAAAAAGCGGGACGATCACGACCACGATCACGATCACGACCAGTATGACGACTATATCCCACCGATGGTGTGATAAAAAAATAGGTGTGCAATTATGTAAGCACAAAACCCACCTAAAAATCAACAATAAAAAAAAAACTAGTATCAAATGAGTTGAAGATTAATAAATGAAATGTGCTGGTAGCATTATATTTGCAAGCATTTTTGAATTCATACTTTGACTCCTTCGTAACAGCAGGAACATATCCCTCTGGAAAATCTTTTCTGCATTCCATGCACTTCATGTGATTGGCCCCCTGACCAGCCATCCATTGCTGTACACATGGAAGACAGCACATGTGGTCGCAGGGTAGTTTCACTGGTTCTTGTATACTCTCTTGACACACTGGACATTCATGTATGCTATACCTGAAAACATGATATACATTCAGAGACACTCCTGACATTAGATAGAAATATCATACTGTCTTCTACCATTGATCTTAATATGACTTATATCTTGATGCATGAGATGTCCGTCTTCAAACTAAATGAAAGAAGGCATTAACATGACAAAATGTTACCACCTAGTTGCTCACAATATTATGAGTTCAATCTTAAGTCAGATTTGAATTTCTGAGAACTTGTAGATGATTTTGAAAATATAAATTGGTCAATTTGAAGCAAGTTGAAAAAGACCTAGAGAAGGTCATTGAAGGTGAAATCTCAAATCTAAAGTCAGATTTGAACTTCTCAGAACTTGTAGATGATTTACAAAATGGTCAATTTGAAGCAAGGTGAAAAAAGACCTTTTTGACCTTGAGAATGTCATTGAAGGTCAAATCTATTAGTCAGATTTAAACTGTTGATGATTTTGAAAAAAATTGGTCAATTTGAAGCAAGATGAAAAAAGACCTTTGTGACCTTGAAATGGTCATTGAAGGTCAAATCTTAAATATACAGTCAGATTTGAACTTCTAAAAACATGTACAATGTATATGATTTGAAAAGTTATTGGAAGTTGTAACAAATTGTTACAGACGCTGATCGCCAACCACCAACCGCCAACCAACAACCGCCATCAAAAAAAATTGAGACCATAACAATATGTCACCACTTTTTGGTGGTGATATAATAAACACCAATTAAATGAGAGAGTCAAAGGCATGCTAGGCAAATTCAGGAAACCAGGGTTCACTGTTTCTTTCTGTTGACACCTGTGCGAAACTACATTCATAATCCATACCACAGTGAATAGGAGATGGACAGTCAAACCTGGGTGCGCTTATGTCTTATAATATCATAAGTGTTTTTCTGAATCCATGTTAACCCTACTTTGAGCGGTCCAAAATAGCATAGTCAGAGAACTCGTTCTAAGTCTATTTTGACACAAAATAGAGAGAATAGTACGTTAAGAGGATAGTATATTAGGCGGATATTTGTTTAAAACAATTCTGACCCATATAAATTTGAACATTTATTATGTATTTATATACTAAGATGGCATTAAACCTTTCACTTTATTGAAGCCAATAATTGAAATCATTCAAGCACTTGTGTTCCAGAGACGTTCCAAAATTTTGCACCCTATATTGACCTAATTGGTGACTAAAATCAAGGAGACAAAAAGGTGTGATATTCTTTAAGAAAGTTATTAATTACGAGGAACCCTTCAATTTGGATAGTGGCAAACCCGGGTTATGAAAGGGCAGACTGTGCCAACGAGTGCTTCCAATTAATTTATTTCTTAATTGTGTTGAGTAAATACTAATGAAATGATTGCAATATTTTTAATTGTGTATAAAACTGAACTTTTAAATATGTGGGACATAATATTTGCTTTACATCTGACTTTTACAAGTACTTCTTACTTGTTGTGGAGCTTTCCTGACTGAAGGTTTACCCTTTTGAGGTATCTCTCAAGGCACACAATGGTAGGTACCTGGTGTAATTCAAATGCCTTCGGGTACACAGTCAGTGTCTTGAATTAAAAAGTTAAGATATATTAAAACGTTTGCATTCTAAGAAAGAAAAAGAAAACTAAGTGGTTTAAAAAGCTGCAAATTGGCTACAGTATATGTAAAATTCTTTGAACAACCTAAAAATTTAATTCTTTTTCACTGAATAGTGCTTCATTTAAGATAAATATATATATGCAACATACAAAGCCCTATAAGACATGTGAAATATGACTATATCTCACCTTCCATAGATTACTTGCATAGTCATATGTTATCTTGTCCATGCCAGGTTTCATACAAACATGTTCCACAAAGCTTAGGAGTACTTTCATCTTTGTCCACATATGCCTGTAAAATACTTCTTGTCAAATGTCTAAACATAAAAATGTGGTTGGTACCAATTTCTTTGGTTTATTTAGCTTGTATGTAACATGTCTAAACTTACCAGGAGTAATAAATGGTTACTGCCAAATATCCTTTTGATAATACGTTCAAACAAACCTGTGGTTGGAGGTTTCCTTGCTATTGGTCTCCTTTAAGAATATACTGTTCATAATAGATGAAATACTGGTCATCATTTGGAGCCATTTGTCTACTTCTACAGGGTCTATCATATTGATATAAGAGGGATCCAACAATCTCAACCCAATTATTCCACTCTCCTCCAAAAGGTTCTGGAAGAATTTGTCAAGGTAAACATTAAATATGTAATAAAATTGCTTTATATTCATGCTAGCTTACCTAATTAAGGTCATTCTCTACAATACTAAACCACTAAAACTCCATAATTTTTCATTTTATTTTGTAATCGGGAATATTATTCAATTATTCAAGTATAATACACAAAATATTTTGCCCAAGAACATTTTTATTTCATGAGGCACAAGAGTTTCATCTTGTTCAATCTGTTTTTGTGGGTACATTTCACTAACTTTGCAGTTAAGTGTTGTTTTGTGTGTAAAGTTTAGAGATTTTTCTGGCAATCTTTTTCAAAATGTATTGCATATTGTATTCCTTTTGCAGTTGTTCTTACAAATTAACATTTGTCATTTCATTCAGTTTCTTGCAAGTGCATGAAATTAATGAAGTGAAAATCAAATGCTTACTCATGGTAACATTTTCATAAAAAAAAGATAACGGTAATGCCAAAATATAGCAAATCCCATCAATAAGCCATGGCTTCCAAATTTTACAAAATCCTTCTACTTTTTCAGTTACAGCTAAAATCCTAAAATACCACACATAAAAATGGCCATCACTTTCAAATTTGGTCGCACACACATACATGTAAATGTTATAGTAAAGAACATGAAATAACACACATAAAAATGGCAGTCATTTTCAAAATGGCCCCTTCTAGCCAAATTTTCATAAAACTGTGTGTTGTGCATATGAGTATTTTCATATCAAAAATCTCTCCACTACTTTACAAAAATTGTAAAATAGCATGTAAAGGCCATTTTGAAAATAGGCTTTTGAGAAGAACTTCTACTCCGATAGGGCATATGTGTACAAAATATGAACAAAAATCAGACTAACAGTATTTGAGTTATCGCCCAGACAGATATATGTACAGACACACAAGGGCATTCCCTATATCCCTCCGAACTTTGTTCGATAGGATAATAATTGTAGAAGTGACCCAATTTTTAAAAATATCTTACCATGACAGGAACAGTACTTGACATGTGTCTTGGTAGGTCTGGTATCAACTCTGTAAGGCGAGATACATCATCCAGTATATGTTTGCTTTGTACATATATCTCAAAGATGGCTGTCACTGGAGTCATATGTACTCTTGTAGGGTTCAGGCAACTTATGTGAAACGCATTTGCAATCATCTATAAAATCAAAATAATTTAAGTATGGTAACTAACCTATGGACGCTATGGACTTCAAGACTGGATTTTGTCTATCCCACATCATTTGAGTACTAGTATCTACAACTATTTTTGATGTAATGAGTATTGGCTATCAATTTTTCTTCAACATGCATTGTTATGACTTCAGTGTGAATATAATGTCCTTTGGAGTTCTGCTCCTGGATTGTAATATAGGCTCTCGAATGGAGGAGGGAGGGTTGTTAGACATTGTTTCTTTTCACGTTAGATCATGGCTTTGGGATATATATGCTCTATTTTGATGACAGGAATACACTTAAGTTTACTTTCTTGCTAGGTTTCTTTACAGTTTTCGGTCCTTTCCCTTTTGCTTAGATATTTGACAGAGCTAAAGATTTTGCAAGATTTGATGTAAAACTATGTTAATACAAGGGTAAGAATAAAAGAAATGCATCAGTACATACCACATGTTCATGTATTTCTTCAGTAGATGATTGCTTATACACCATTCGTACAAAATCATGAACAAATCTCTGTCGGAATTCATTCTTATCGACATTTTGATAGTATCTATCTAGTAATTTCCCAATGGCAGTTGCCTGGAAAAGTTGAACCATCAGATCTTCAGGCGTCTTTCTCATATTATCTACAATAAAAACCAAATCAACAGTCTAGATGACTAAAAATATCTTGAATTTTATGATTAAACAGGAGAACTTTTTTGTAAGTTTTAATATAGAAAACATATTACTACAGGTACCTGCTTCCTTATTTGCTTGGTTCCACACTTTATCTAGAATGACCTTCACTAGCCAGGAAAATGGAAATGCTGACTTAAAGGAATCTCCACTCTGGCCCCATGTCTGCATCTTTATCTTATCCCCACTACTTTGCTGCTCTTTGTATGTGAGCTCAGTTATTGCTGGATCACTGAACATCTCCAACCAGAGTTGATTTACCCATGTGTCTGGTGGGTTATCTCTCAAGATGTCAAGGTTGTCATCTCTGTCTATGTATGCCAGAACATGGGCCAGAACTGGACTGACAATTGAGTTGATTTTTAGCCAAGCTGCATTTCTAAAAACAAAATGACCAAATCTATGGAATGACTTCCATATATTGTCAATGACAATATTATTATCTACTGTAAAGTATCACTATTAAAGTATTATAAAAACCTTAGCTTATTAGCAGAAAATCGTATAATATTCAGATTTGACAACTGATAGTATTTTTTACATGTGAGTAAATATGGGAATCGTGAGATGTCTACAGGATTTTGTCTATCAAGAATATGCCCTGTAAAACTATCTAGTCCAACCAAAGCAGAACTGCCATCTATAACAGCTGATCCAATAAATTATATTAAATCTCAATTAATTCACCTAAACGTTCCACCCTGTTCTAGAAACTTCCTAACCAATGCTTCATCTACAAGCCAACTTTGTGCTGTAGCTGACTGTGCCTCATCCTTTTCCTTTAATAAGCCTAGCATGCGATGTTTGAGTACAGTCAAGAAGTCTACACCTAAAAGTAATCATCAGTATTACTTAAATACATTACCATTCTTGCATCACATTCCTGCAAACTTTATTTTGGTCCTTTGTGGAATATGGTGTTATGAGGGTTGAAAAGGACTTGTTGCAAGACTTACATGTACATTTAAACAAAAATGTGCAAAATCTGTCAGTAAGGAGTAAATAAGAAAACCATATAAGGATCAAAATTGAAAAAGCAATATTTTAATTATAACCATGTGTAGTATGTGCACTATGATTGTAACATAGCTCAGCTCAATTTAACACTGACTAAACTGCTGTCTTAGATAAAACTAACCATTGTTATTCAGTATCATAAAGAACTTTACAAAAACTCAAGACTTACCTTGCTCTTTATTGAGACAGGCTTTTACTAGGTCGCCATCTATAGTCAGACGAATATTGATGTTAGCACCGCTGAATTCATTCCTTATTTTTTCAGGAAGCATTTTTAAGACTATAGCCTTAGCCAAAGACCCATTATAGAAATCATCTACAAGTTTTGCAGCCTTTTGTGGATCTTCTATTTTCAATGTGAAAACAATTGACCCCTTTGTTATATCAAGCAAAGCCATTCCATATTCCTGTTTGAGTGTATCTTCTGCACCATCAGGCTCTGATGCTATTGCTATAAGTGCTGCTTGATCAAAGTCAGTGCCCCGTTGGGCTTCTGGTGTGCTTTCTCTAGGACTTGTAGGATTTGGAGGTAGAGATGATACATGTGCATCCACTACCGCTCCCTTTTCTGTCCTGGTCAGTTTTACATGCATGTGGAATGATCCTGAAGTACAAATGAACATGTCATGTTGGATTAACCAAGTTGAAATTAGAAAAAGTGATTAATGTCAGGTAATGGGATTTCTGTTGGACAAGAGATTGAAGGGATATGAGAGAGCACTTGGCATTAAAGAATTAATTAACATTGTCTATTTTTGAATAACATATGCATAATTTGCATATATAAGATAAAATGATCGAAAGATAACATTTATCAGATGGTTTCTGAGTTACAGCTACAGTGGTTTACAACTTGCCTACCTCTATAGTCTGCAGGAATGTTTACAAGTGAAACATGTTGATCAGCAAATACATTGTTATCTCCAATTTGAACATTAGCACAGCGATCAAGGGTCAGAGAAGCAGGCACTTTGGGGATGCTCATAGAACCACCTAAACCATTCAATTAATATTGTTAATTAGTTATTACAGGGAAATATGGTTTTCTAAGACTATGTAAAATATAAATTTATGATACATTAATCAAAAGTTCAACTTGAATTTGAGAAATATTGACCAACCTCTAATAAGCTGATTAACAACTTGAACTCTGTCCTTCTTTCTATCTCTGTTGGAATTCAAATCCTCTATCATATTAGCAGCTGGTAGTAGAGATGCATTGAGCACCTCTGTTGTGTTAACTAATGGCGACTGATAGCTGGAATGTTGTTGAGGTCTCTGTTCAATAGTTTCCTCTGCTTGACAGTCTTCAGGTATTTGATCCAAATCCATTTCTTCCTCATTATCCATTCTCGTCAAATCTATAATTCTCTCAGCTGTAGCATGTTGTTGACTAATTTTATTGTCACTCTGCAACATACTTTCATCTGAAGTTTCCATATTGGTGTCAAGAGTCGTGTTCAGTGTTTCATCACCAATCCTGGATGAAACTCCACTGTCAAATGAGCGGCTGTTGATAACTACATATGGATCAGAATTTTTTTCATCATTTACCTGCATATTGTCAATACCCATGCTAACATATTGTTCAGTTGTGTCCTCTTGCTCTAGCATATGTGTGCCTGAATCAACTGCAGGAATAAGCCCTGCATTTCCACTATCATCCATCATGCTCTCATGAGAATTTTGAGTTGCAACCTCGTGTAATACCATGTCACTTTCAAATGCTTCACTTATTGCTGTGTGGCGTAATTCCGAAATATCTGGGGCATCAGATCCACATTTTCCAATATCGTCTATATGAACTGCACTCCAGTTTCCACTTTGAAGACTCTCAAAATCTGCATGTGATGCACCACGACTTGCATGTGCGATGAGCACAAAGTGACAAGGGGCTCTAATTTTGTGTTCAATGGTCATCTTATTTCTTTCATCTTGTATACAGTTACGTACTGTAGCTATAAGACTGTTTTGAATCTCCATCAAAAGGATGAACACGTTAGCAGAGTTTGATGGCAGCTCGAGGTATGATCTATGGAAACAATTGTTTTATATTTGACATGTATGCAAACACTTTTAACAAATATTTGTCCTGGCATTTCTGCAAGTTTTTTCGTATAGTTATGGTTATAAGCTCTGATGTAATTTAATTCCATCATATAATTGTTGCTATTCTTAACCCAACAGTGATAAGTGATGAATGGTAGTAATCTAAAATCATACTAACTTGAGACACTTCCTAAAGTTTTGTTCCGTGTCAAAGGCCTGAAGATCCTTGCATATTACATGTTCTACACCATCCCTTATCACAGTTTCTACATCCTTCTGGATTCTCTTGTCTGATATCTTTGCTGAATGAGTTGTTATCTGAAAAATATGAATATGCAGGCATGAGCATCAAAGGGGAAAATACAAATTTAAAAGGGGTTGCAATCAGGAAAGTTGAACTGCAGGTTGTAAATGTATATTTGCACTCATTTTCAAAGCCCATTTTAGTTACAGTACTCACTTGCAGCAGCAGTTCATTTTCTGTATTTGTTTGTATTGAATGCTTGATAACGTCACCAACACTACTACGTGGAAAGTTGAAGTATGCTTGCTGGAGTCTCTGTGCTTCTTCTCTCTTTATGCAAGAGTGACCCAATCGCAATACTGCATCAGGAGTAGCCATTTTGAGAAGAATTTGTTTGCAATTTTCAAATACCTGGATGTATAATAACAGAAAATGTGGTGTTTACTGTTCAACAAAATATTTCACACTGCATACAGTAATTATGTAAAACTATTCTTTAAAATTACCATTAAAATGTTCTACATTTGAATTGCCATATTTAAACCTACTTCTTCAGGATGACATTCGTTGTCTTCATCCTGCACATTGTGCCACGTCGTACGAACAATGGAGGGCACACTGTCTCTATGGTGGCCCATAAACACCTCTTCAAGCTTGTAATCAGTTCTGTTGTTATTGAGAAAATATAAAAAACAAGAAAATCATAAAAAGATTATCAATCAACATAACATGTTGTAATAATTTTATACTTTCTATTTTCTTTTAGAGTTCACATAAACTTATACTTCATGATTCATGATTTTAATTTCAAATTGTGCATACCCATCTCCATATTTATTTACATAATCATACATTACACTTTTGCTGTACTTCATAACTTACCTGCCAAGTTTCTTGTATGCGCATTGTTGATTAATCTTACAGAAATCTTGAGTCCATTTCTTCAGCTTTTCAACAATTTGTCTCTGCTCAGGAGTTAGCATCGAGTCCATACTTAGGATATGCTTTTCTAGTCTGTTGATCAGTGGTATCGGGAACTCCTTCAAGACCTGATCTTTTGTTGCCACAATGATTAATCTAAAGTTAGAAAAATATATAGAAACCTTAAGGTTTTCTTTAATAGAGGTTTACAGTGAACCTAATTTCTATGTAATGGGCAGGCAGGTTATTATATTTCTGAGAATGTTGACTGAAAGAAAATATTCATGAGGTCAATTTTTGAGGTTATGAGTATTGGCTATCAATTTCTAATTTTTTCCTCAACATGTATTGTAATGACTTCAGTATGAATGAAATGTCCCTTGGTCTTCTGGTCTAGGATTGTGATATTGATTCTTGAATGGTGGGGGGAAAGGGGGTATTAGACATTGTTTCTTTTCACGTTAGATCATGGTTTTGGGCTATATGGGGTTTGTTTTTCTTAACTGGTATGCACTTAGAGTTTGCTTTTTCTTGCTAAGTTCCATTACAACTTTTGGTCCTTTCCCTTTGGCACTAGTGCTTATATATTAAATGTGTGTATGAAAAAACTGTGGGTACCTGAAATCTTTGTGGACCCTGCATTTCACTCTGTGTGTGCCAAGACCAAGGTCTACATATCTCTGACCACCAAAGTACTTGTAGTTCTAAAAAGAAAAAATATATTGTATAATGAAGCAATACTTCAACTAATGTTGTAATGATTGTTGTAGGGCCCATTGCTAAAAACGGATGTACATTTTGAACTTGTTCTATCTTGGCATAAACCATACATGTATGTATTGGAATTGAAATTTAAAAAATGCGTCTCTTTATTAAAGAATACCTGATTCAGTGCATCATAAAGACTTGGGTGGAGGGAATCCGCCTTCACGAGAACAACAGTATAACCAGCCTCAGCACAGAGTTTTACTCTGTGCATTCCACGACACACCTGAAAAAATAACACAGGTCGTGTCAATGAGATAATACAGAAACAAGTCATTGATAAACAACAAAAGTATCCTTCACACTATAATTGATCTACACACATTATAGTACATATACGAACATGTATATTCATTAAAATTTATCCAAATCTACTTGGTACTGAACACATGTCTAACTTCTTTATACTGTCAGAATGTTTAAAGGTAAGATGGAACAAATACAATGTAAAGCTTTAGAAACAACACATGTTCCTCACCTGTACATATGCTTGATCTCTAGGGAATGCACTTCCAAATATAACAACAGTTTTCTCATTTCTCAGAAGTTCTTGTGTCAGAATACCAAGGCCTTCACCTTCATTTTCAGTCATTAGTAAAACATATCTGCTCTCACTGTAAATATTAAGATTCATCTATTAATTGTTATATATTTAAAAGCCTATATATTGTATATTAGTATTATATATTATAAATAGATGTATGCATGTATTCTTAAAAAATATAACTATAATTACCTTGTAGTGTATTCCCCATGAAGACTCGCCTTAACAAGGCCTGTTGGAGAACAATCCGGGTCACCTTCTAACTTCTGTAAACAACATCATTACATCACTGTCTATTATAAAATTTAAAAGAAAAAACAAAAAATCTGCCTCATATAAATAAGTGAATATATGAGTCAATGATCAAATATATGTCATGCAGAAGTAATTCAAAAGGAGATTGCTGATTCATTACCTCTGTTTTATCGAGGTTGTGGCATCTCTTTTGAAACTCAGTAAGTACATCGGTCTTTTCCAAACCACCAAAACTTCTTCGGATGGCATGTTCCAGCTGGGGCCATCTTATATCACCTTGGCATTTTTCAGCAAATCCAAATACCATTTTGATAACCCTAAAAATGAAATGTACTACTTCACATGTATGACATGTATTGTTATAGAGTTAACATTAATGGTATATTTTAGGTGCAGCAAATTTTGTAAAGCATAAGACAAGACTGCAAGTCATCATTTCCCAGAATAACAACTTACTAGTATGAATGATTTGCCAAAAGTATTGATAGAATTATTACAAAATGTAGAATGACTAATAAAATGACAGCTACAGTAAAACCTGTATATCTGAACACCTGGCTAATCCGAACACCTTCCAATTTGAACACTTTTTTTCGGTCCCATTTTTTCCTCCCATTGACTCCCATGTTAAATGAACCTTGAAATCTAAACACCTCCTAATCTGAACAGTGAACAACCAGATATGAAAAAGAGACCGGTCTAATCTGAACATTTTTATCAGAAATCAAATGTCTGGACATTTCAATAATAGCCACATATTGAGTCAATGTTATAGTTGTTATTTATCTTTACATATACATGTACAATGTAATCAAAGAACCAATACTGTCCTAATTAACTTATTTAGTCTCAGTGACATCACTTATTCATGTTATTTGTGGAAAACAACAGGATGATTTGAAAAGGTGTGAATACAGGAGTTAATTGGTTTATCCTTTTAGAAAATAACTGAATGTTTTATGTTTGGATTAAGAGAAAGGTGTGAATCAAGAAGATAATTGATTTATCATTATTGGAAATTACCTGGATGTTTTTGATTTGGATTAAGAGAAAGGTGAGAATCTGGGAGATAATTGGTTTATCCTTATTGTAAATTAACTGGATGTTTTTGATTTGGATTATGAACAGGTCTTAGATGTTTTGTATCCCATGGGTCTGTTATGATAGCTAAGATTCAATCAGTAAATGTTTTATAATCACAAAGACAACACAGACACAATTGCAGACAAGATTTCACGAGAAAGAGAAAAAAATTCAGCTTCGTATTATCCTATCACTAAAATGCCTCCTAAAAAGGGAGGATTATTCATCATCTCGAATGAACACTCATGAAAAATTCTTTTTACTTGAAAAGGATATCTACTCAAATATTGTTAATGCTAAAAGTGCCAAAAAACAAACAACAATGAAGGACTTTTTCAAGCAAAAGTAAAGCAGTGCTATATAACCATAATATGGGATAAGTCATTTGAGAAGCATAAGATTTCGTAGGAGACTATCATATACTTATACTGTCAGTGTATTACAATTTTTTGCCAAAATATAAGTTATTTTTACTAAAATAATGAAATTGTTCAAAATGTGAATAAAAATAGCATATAGGCTATAGGCCTATTGTAGAATAAACAGCATGTATTGTTTTCTTACTTAGTATTAAGTGTTCAATATAGTGGACTGAACAATGAAATTGCCCCCGAGCAACAAAATCCTCGAAATTTGAACACCTGCCAATTTGAACGCTTTTGGCTGGTCCCATGGGTGTTCGGATTAGACAGGTTTTACCGTATTTTAAAAAAATGACTGCCTGATTTGCCAAAAAGTCAAAGACTTTCTGTATTTACTTCCAAGTTTTATCATAATCCATATCAACAAATTCACTGACAATAAGTTTTGAGTTATGACAAAGCTTACCCATAAAAGTCTCTAAGACCAAAAAACTCCTTCATATTGTCCTGGAGTTGGTTTGTGTAAATATGCAAATATGCCTCTGCCAAAGGTGGAATAATGGGAGCAACCTTGCTTTTGTGGGCCTCATTTCCTGTTGAGCATATTCCCCTACAAGGCAACATAAACATAACATTTATCTGTTATTTGAGAAAACGCAAAACAACAAAAACCTGAATAATTTAGCTTGTATGAGATTTTATGTATCACATTATCAATCAAAGATGGAGAAAATCAATTCTGTCTTTTCAAGTTATATCTTGAAAATAGCTTCAAAGGCATATATTAACACACTGAACACCAATAACATTTAACAAGAAAAACTACCTTGCACTTTCTTCAAGCTCTGCTTGGTCAGGAACAGTACGGGACACAAGGATCCCGCGGTTCTGTTTTGCAGGATCAAGTGCCCAATTGGATATACCAATGAATGCAACCTTTTGGTAATCCTCTGCATCATCATCATCTTCAATGCAACCATTCTCAAGCAAGGGATGGAGTGCCTGAAATAAAATAAGAGCTTATACATCGGACTCAGATGTTGGGAGTTGGAATTTTGAAAAATTAGTACAATGTAGTTACAAATGTAGCTCTAAATAACTTGAAGTAGTAATTACTAGGCAGTTATGCTTATCAGGAAAAACAATTCAATCGTTCCTAGTAGCTACATTCCAACTTTTCCTGCAAGATTTACCTTCAATGGCATTTGGGGTGAATCTTCTGCCAACCCTACTTCATCTAGTACCACTACCGATGTGAACCTTTCCAGGTTCTTATCTTTCTGGAAGCTACCAGCTTGTTCAAATACTCCTAGAATACCATCAGCAGTGGCAAGTGGACTACATTGGAATGAAAACATCTGCACCTGAGAATATAGTAAGAGGTTTAAAGATAGAATCAGATCTAGCAAGCAGGCAAACAAAAAATTGTTTCAAGTTTAGAATATTTCTGGATCATACCATTTCTTATCATGTGTATTTTCTAAAAATGCCCAAAGTACATACTTCATTTCAGGAAAACTAAAGATTTTCACAATAATGTATCCTTTTTCTATAATAATGGTTAACATTCTTATTATTTGCGAGAACTTAAACATTTTCACCAATTCTTGCACTTCGAATCCTTGATAACTTAATCGATTGATAACTATATTGTGAATCTTTTGGGAGATCTTGTATTTGAGATTGTAAGGAATGGATTGGTTGGTCAATTGTACATGTTGCTTGTAATTTTTTCACCCCTATAGATCTGCTTCTGCCTTTAATTATTATCCCATCGAACGAAGTTCGGAGGGATATAGGGAACGCCTCTGTCCGTCAGTACGTACGTACGTACGTACGTCCGTCCGTCCGTCCGTCCGGGCAATAATTCAAATACCGTTAGCCCGATTTTGTTCATACTTTGTACACATATACCCTATAGGAGTAGAAGTTCTGCTCGAAAGCCGATTTTCAAAATGGCCGCTCATTTAAAAATGGCGGCCATTTTAGTGCCGATTTTACAGTAATTTAGGTGCAATATGTAAAACTGTTATAGGAATATGTTTTAAATGTAAAAAAATTATATAGGACATTAATAAAGCTAGAAATGTAGATATTAAAGAAGCACATGGCAGCCATCTTGAAAAATGGCGGCCTTTACTCGTTATTTTACGATTTTTGCTGTAACTCGAAAAGTAGTGGAGCGATTTTGTTCATATTTGGTATGTGAATACTATAAGCATGGCACACTGTCTAATAACACTTTTGGTAGAAGGCGGCAATTTTGAAAAATGGCCGCCATTTTTCAAAATGGCCACCATTTTAACGCATTTTACTATAATTTGAAAAGTAGTGGAGCGATTTTGTTCAAATTTGGTATGTGAATACTATAAGCATGGCACACTGTCTAATGACACTTTTGGTAGAAGGCGGCCATTTTGAAAAATGCCCGCCATTTTAACGTATTTTACTATAACTCAAAAAGTAGTGGAGCGATTTTGTTCATATTTGGTATGTGAATACTATAAGCATGGCACACTGTCTAATGACACTATTGGTAGAAGGTGGCCATTTTGAAAAGTGGCCGCCATTTTAATGTATTTTACTATAACTCGAAAAGTAGTAGAGCGATTTTGTTCATATTTGGTATGTGAATACTATAAGCATGGCACACTGTCTAATGACACTTTTGGTAGAAAACCGCCATTTTAACATATTTCACTATAACTCGAAAAGTAGTGGAGCGATTTTGTTCATATTTGGTGAATGCTATAAGCATGGCACACTGTCTAATGACACTGTCTAATGGTAGAAGGTGGCCATTTTGAAAAATGGCTGCCATTTGTGCTATATACTTTGTTTGTAAATATGCCAGCCATGGCTGTTTGATGGGATTCGCTACGCTTTGGCGTTGCCGTTGTTCTGGTTAATATATTACAAAGAGGACATGTACACAATTTACAATGACAGTCCCTTTTCCTGTTTTTCTGATGTTGCCCATTGTGCTTTTCACCAATATACATTCATCAGTTCATATCACTCCTTAAGATCTATGCATACCTGCTTCAACTCCCTGAAGAACTGATGTTCACTCGATTCTCCCTGCATATTATCAGCCACAGTTGTCTTTGCGAGGGATTTTGAGCTCCCAGGTTTGCCAACAAGGAAAAGGGGAATCCTCAGCATGATTGTAATCACCATCATGAACACATTCTCCTTCAAAGCATTGTTCTTTGCTATGTTTTTCTCAAGATAGCACTCATCCAGGAACAGGTCTTGGCATCTATAAAGAATAAATTAAGTAACTTTTATTATGAACATGACTTAGTTTGTGTTTTTTATGTTTACTTCAAAAAATCTAATGGGCATATCATATTAATTACATCATATCACTGGAGCAATCTAAAACAAACAGATTACTGACCTAGATATTTCACGTTGTATTCGTTCTGGTCCACCATGAAACTTGAATGGATGTTTTTGGATGAATGGTTCTATGAATTCTCTATAGGCTTCTCGGTTTAAAAGACAAGCATGATAGCAAACACCCAAAGCCATCACCATTGACCAGGTCTCCTGGTCAAGTTCCTGTAAACCAAAAATATGTATATTTACCAACCTGAATGAGTATGAGAATTTAAATCCTCTTTAATCAATATCAAAGTCAAATCTGTAGTTAATGATTGGTCACAACTGTATCACATGTGGCACTTTCACAAAATAATATTCCACTACAGGCTTTGTGCTCTGCAGAATTAAATATTTATATTGTCACTGACACTCATAAATAGTTTATTATTTAATACCTCTATTCTATTTATTGGATCCTGTTTGAACTTTGCTTGGAGCATTGGATAATGCTTGAGAAACCATAACATGACATCTAATGCCCTCTCTACATCTCTTAGACTCACAAAGCTGCATTCATCCTGGAAAATTACAAGAACACATGCCTAATATCACTCCACCAGCATGTTGTAAAGCTAGTGTCTCTGCAACAAGAAAACATGGCAAAAAAGAGATTGTAACTCATCATAACAATCTTGTTATAGCAGAAAGTTTGAAAATTTTCTCATTTTGTTTGAACTGGACATTTAAACCGCCATGGTTGGCTGTTGTGGGCTGTTCCATCTGCCTTTTATACCCATTCTCAGCCTTAAGTTCAACTAATTATACCCTATTCACCCAATCAATAGTTGAAGAGTAAACACAAAATAAATTAACTGTACATGCCCTGTTACATGCAGTGCACTGAAACTGAACTAAATTTACACCTACAGTACTCACTTCTCACCTCAATAAACGGCACTTGGGTGGCACTGTAAAAAATTAATTTCAATAAATGAAAAATAAAAAATACACACCTTTTGCCCTCTCATGAAAAGTTGTGATTGAGCAAGCACTTCACCAAGTGGCTCAAAATATTCCTTTTGAACATCATTTCCAGGATTGTCATTGTTGAATTCAGACATCTACAAAAGCAGAATAAGGATATCAGATCAACCATACAAGAGAAAACAAAAAAATATGTTGGTTTTAGTGATTTCTATGGCCAGGTGATTAAAACCACATTTATATCCCAATTCCCTTAAAGAATTGAGTGCATAGTAGCAAAACAAAAAATCGATACCAAACACATTATAATGGATTAAATCACATCTAAACCCATTTACCTTTCGCTCAACAATTTTAATGATGTATTTTTCCTCTGTATTGTGGTCCAGCTGACCAAAGTCCCATACAAATGGTCTCAAACTGGGAGGCAGTGGGAAGACTCTATAGACTAAGTGCCTCATTGGTATTCTCCCCAATCTATCTGATGTCTCTTCAGCACGCACATGATACCCCAATCCAGCAGATTCCAGCTTTGCTATCATTTCATCATTATGCCTTTTGAGAAAATGCAGATTATAAAACTATATCAATGTGACATTTTTACTTTTCTTTGTTTCAGTATGTGATATAATGGTAAAACATTTAAAAGCGATAATACCATGAACTTACTTTCTGTAAGGGTTACAGGCAGCGATAACCTTCAGGGAATCATCCAGTTCTTGTATTTTCTCACCATGCATGGTTTTATCACACATAATTTCCTTTATGAGACTGATCACTGGGGATGTATTTGCCTCATCAAAGAAGAGAACAGTATCAACTTTGTGATGTTCTCTGTTTGCTCTTGCTTCCTGACATGCTTTCTTCACTTTCTTTTTGACATCTGAAGCTGTTGTTCCACCATGAATCTGAACGATAATATTACAAAAGATTAAATACTTAAACCATATTGTATTTCTTGAATAAAGGTACTTGACCGATGATATATTTAGGAAGAGAGCTATACATCTTTGATACAATGTACATGTACATGCATTTACCTTCATGATAATCATATTCTTCACATCTGTGGATTTAGCCATTAGCTTACTGAGAAAGCGAATCAACCTTGTCTTCCCACACCCAGTTTCTCCCATTACAACCACTGGAATGCCACATCTGTGAATCAAAATGATAATGACACGTACATGATCAATTCACAACACATTTTAAGGTTGGGCTATCATCATTTGATTTAGTTTGCCTAATACCATATGATGCACAAAAAATATATTTATTGAGTAAAATTTCACAATATGTTTAAATTCACTTCATAGCCTTTTATACACTGTTTTAAAAATTCTCATTGATATAATAATGACCTACCGAAAGCGCATCATGATTGCCAGCATTTTCTTGGCATTGTCTGTTGTCAGCTGGTATGATGGATCAGGGTCAAACATTTGATGTTCATGTATATCAAAAAATCTACCAAGATATAGCAACTGCTCCCATCTTCCATGCTGTTTTTCTAAGATGTCAAAATCCAAGTTGAACTTGACACGTTGTGTGATGAGTCGCTGTTGAAGGGCTAGTGGAAGAAGGTTTGCCTCTAATGGTGCGCTTGTCTTTGGGTCTATCAAGGCTCCATTGCGATCAACAAAGAACCCAAGAAAGGTCATGGTAGTGTGGTCTGAGTTGAAGAAGACATATGGGTTTTGTCTATAAAAGTAAATAAAATCATAAAAGAGTGGCCCTGAATTAAAATGGACAAGTTCAATAAACAACATAAAGTAAATAGAGTTGGAATGATCCTTGGATCTAATTTTACGCACATGTGTGGCTAGACATACCTTTTTTCCCATGGAGTCCTTATTTCATATTCAACAAGATCATCAAATTCAATACCCCTGCTTTCATCTGTTATGTTGAGAGTTGGTAAAGCAAAATCCTGTAAATTGGAAATCTCATGTTATCTGATATGTATTAATATAGTGTTCATTTCATCTTTGATTACAAAACAGAGCTAAACACAGAACCAACAAATCATATGAAAAGAACCAAATATCCCAAACTTAGATCCAAAAAGAAACCTCTCCCCCACCATTCAGTAACCTTTATCACAATCCAAATTACATTACATGTTGAAATTAAATTTTAAGGCATTTAACATGCAAAGTGTCACCACCTACCATTTGTTACAGACTCTGATAGCCAACACAATCCACAAATAAGTTGGATATTATAACAATGTTACCACTAGTGTGCATAAAAAATGATAATCAATACTCTTGAAGATGGAAAATAGTTATATATACTAGTACTAGTTTTCATACAATAACATTCTGTCTCAAATGATGTGGGACAAAAATACATTTCAAGTCATTGCTCAAATTTTGCTTTTGTGACTTCTCATTACCTTCACCATCCTTATCATGAATCTGACCACAAAGGTCTTCATTCCCTGTAACTCTTCTCTAATTAGGTCTCTTTGGCAGAACAAAGAACTCTCGGCATCTTGAAACTGCAAACTGAGAAACCAGGTGAAATTTCTCAATTCATACCAGCTTGGATTTTTCAAGCTGCTGAACCTGTAAAAATAGAGTATTCATAAGAAAAGCATTCCTAGAGAAGGACATCAATGCCTTTTCACTAACTTCACACTGAGTCATAATAGCGTTTCGAACAATATTGTCCAAAGGCAAGGTTGACATTGTCATTGCATATGCTGGTTCATTTTCTCTGCAAATTAGCAGATAACTAAACTGTGTGTGAAAATGTATCTCCAGTGAATCAATTATACTAAAGATTAAATTCTCAAAATACCTTAGCAGAGTTTCAAGGCATGAGGTTGGATCTCCAAATCTCTGACTACTATCAAAAATGACATCATCCATATTCCTGCCTTTAGAATGAGCATCAAGA